TATGAATATACCATTTTGTTTATCCATTCTTCTATTGATGGATACCTCAGGCTGTTTCCTGTTTGGGACTACTATGAATAAATCTGCCATGACCATTCACATACAGATTTTTTTGTGCACATATATTTTTATTTCTATTCAGTAAAGACATGAGTCTTGGCCAGTCATGTTTAGTTTTATAAAAACTGCCAGATCTTTTTCCAAAATGTACCATTTTGCACTCTGGCCATCAGTGTATGAGACTTTTGGTTGCTTTATATCCTTGTCAACATTTGGAGTCATTGGTCTTTTAATTTTAGACATTTTGGTGGATGTGTATTGAATAACTTTTGGCCAAGCCCAAAAGAAACTAAATGCCAGTTCTAAATTGTTTCGTCTTTATAATGAACATGCTTGTTATAAAATGGCAATTTAAATGTTTTATTTTTGCCAATGTAATAATCATACATATCTTTTTTAAATAATCAAACACTATTAAAGATTGTAAAGGAAAAAATAGCAATCTCCTTTCTCACCCTCATTGTAATCCTTTCTTCATATAAAACCTCAGCTTTTCTAGCTTTTTTCATTATTTGCTACCTTGTAGTTTATACTGCTATCTCTTAATTTATCGATTTCTAATGTAACCTGCTGACCTCCTGATATAGTATATGAGGACATAGCTCTCCCTTCTCCCTCCTAGTCCCTCTCCAACTGCTGCTTCCCCTGCCAACACAATATCACATTTTGGTTAAAACAGTTGTCACTATTACATTATTATGGTGATGGAATTGTTCTTCAATGCTGAGAAAAAGAGAAGCTATAATCAACCCTCCTTTCTTATACAACTCTTTATTTTCATGGCATTAGTAATTGCCTCATCTCTTTATTTGCTTGGGTTGCTGTGTTCCTATTGTTAATTGTTTCCATATGTTCCAACATCTCTTCCACATGCCCATGAATAATATTTTCCATATGGTCAAGTAGATCAGTTATTTTTCTTTCCTGCAGACCTCCATATTCTTCTTCCACTCTGAATTAGTTATTCTTTAGGACCACTGAGCAATGGAGACCTCTTAACTGTCATCCTGGGATGCCCCTTAAACACTGTCCTGGATTGGACTCCCTTTTTGCTGAATCCTGTATCTTTCTTTTTCTTATTTCAGCCTTTTAGTATATTTTGCTGGAATATAGCCTTCACTATCTGTGAGTAGGAAGTAAATTTTTTGAGACTTTATATATCTGAATGTGATTTTACTCTTACACTTGATTGATAGTATGACTGGGTATAAAAGTCTCATTTGCAAATAAACTCTACTTATAATTTTGAAGGCATCATTTCATTGAGTTCTAGCACCATTATTGCTGTTGAGAGGTGTTGATACTATTCCTTTTTACTGATCCTTTGTATTTTGTATATTGTTTTAATTTTTGGAAATTTTTAGAATCTTTGTCCATAATTTTCTGAAATTTTACAATGATGCTCCTTGGCATGGGTATTTTTCATATTCATCTACTATATACCTAATGGGCTTTCAATTTAAAATTTCATGTTCAAGAAAGTTTCCTTCTGTTCTGAAAAGTTTTTCTTGTATTATTTATTTGATGACTCCTTCCCTGCTATTTTATATGACCTATTTTTCTATAATACCTTTTCTTGGAATATCGAATGTCTTGGGCTGATCCTCTAATTTTCTCACCATTTTTTCTTCCCACTTTTCTTCTCTTTCTCAGAGATTGCCTCCTTTATCTTCAAGCCTTCCTCTTATATTTTTATTCCAACTTTCTTATTTGTTTTAATGTTTAAATGTTTTCAGATTGTTCCTTTTTTTACATTATTTTGTCCTTATTTCACAGCTGCAAAATCTTCCCTTATCTCTCTGAGGATATTAACTACAATTGTTTTGAAGAACCATCCCTCTTTTTTATGAGTTTATTTTTCTTTTTGTCGTTTGTTTGCTCTCATGTTGGAAAATTTCCTTAGATGTCTGATGAACCTTAGCTATCTATTCATACTGAAGAGAGATACACTAAAAAATTGATAGGAAATTTTTGTACATGAGTGAGGGTTGTTGATTAGTGTACTTTCTGGTATGGTGATAGGATAACAAGCTGGATTTTTATTATAGGACTTCCAAATGTCACTGTCTTGAGGCATTTCTCGTATGTCTTTCCATTTTTCCAGAGAAGTTAGTAGTCTCCTGCCTACAATATGTAACTGGAACAAGAGGAGAAAACAAAGGTGAGCCTCAGCCTCTGCCCTCTCTTCCCCGTCCCAGACTTGATCCTCTTGATGTCTTCAGAGGATAGACCTCCCGTCTGCTGCCAGAAAGGGCAAGGTAAAAGGAAGCAGTAATGAGATAGTTGCTTGTATGCTAGGATAGGAGATAAATCCTAGTGGATGATAAGAGGCCAAGCATTCTAAATATAAAATACAAACTTTCAACCAATCCATTTCTTTTCAACCCTTCACTGTCTGTAGTACCTTATGCCTCCAAGTACTAGACTTTTTCAGAGTGCAATAGGTGTCAAACAGACTTACTTATTGTTAGCTTCTACCTCTTCAGAAACCCAGGTGCTAGCTTTCCCTCTCTGCTAAGTCACTTCCATCCTGTTCAACCAGTTTCCCATTTTCCAAAATGATGAAATATCTCTACTACTGTTGTTCTCTCTCCTGGTTTCTTGATCCTTAATAGATTTATACCTTTTCAATGCCCTTTATTTTCAATTCAGTGGCATTTTGAGGCTGATTTGCCATGTTTAACCAATTTTTGATACTTTATGGAATTGAGAACATGCCCCAGTTGCTTCTCTTAAAAGCTGTTTTTTTCCCATAAATTTTTAGGGTAGTGTGATTCTTCAGATTACGTATTTAAAATTGCTACATTTTATATAAAGAAATGACATTATTTATCAACTGTTATAGTCGCATATTATTGGAATTGGTTTTCAGAAACAGTTAGTGGCCTGGCCGGGTACTTCCACATCTTCTTACCCAGTCTCTCTGAGGGTAAACATCAGCATTCATAAGGCAGCTGACTAAATGTAGGAATTTTCAATACTGTGGATTTGGATATCTCCATATAGCCATCTCCCCCCCATGGAAATTGACCCCATAAAATTGGCCTCATCATTAGCACCCTACCCCAGCCAACTAAGATTACTGGTCCCAAAACACAAATATTATATTGCATTTCCTTAGGGATGATCTAAGAATTTGAACCAAACATTTAAACCTGATGCAGTATCTTGGCTAAAGCAATTCATCAAGTATGTTTCATTTTTCCTATGCATGACTCAGAATTACGTTTTGATTTTTTCTTCCAGAATCAAAGAATCCATTTCCTTACAACTGAGCTCATTTCTAGATTTAATTTATATCATGTTGGAATTAATTGGCTTTGTAAACCTAGCATAAATACAACCAGCACGTTGAACATACTCCCAGAAAATACCCCCATATGCTAAGTAAGAAAACGCAACAGGTTTCTAAATATGCTTACCAAAAACCTTCTTACTAGTGAAGAGATACTGCAGTATGCCTTAAGGGATCCGCTAATGGTATCCAGGCCTTTGCCTTAGGAACATGAGCTGAATGTTGGCCTGGTCTATAATTGGACTCTTATGACCATCTGGCAGCTTCCGTGACATATTAGTGGCCTTGGCCCAGTTTCTAATTGGCATGTACCAGCATCAAATTGGCATGTATCTATGGCCACAAAACAGCTTAACTTTCTAAATAAGAGAGGTCATAATGTCTTGTCTTTTCTTCAGCTATGATGCAATTGCTCTTTGCAGATTTTTTTGTTTTAACTGAAAGGAAGCTAAAATTTCAAGATTCCCATGTTACTTTAATCCTAAACCTTTTGAATCTACTTCTCCACTAACTGAAAGAAAGTCTAAAAACTGCTGGTGTTTGGCCCCATGTGTCAAAGAAATTGTTATGTAGCATTGTATCTTTCTCTCTGATTTCAGGCCATAGACGTTCTTAATCTGCAGGCTGTCTACAAGCTTTCATAGAAAGATTCATCTGTAATCATTTTAAACAGAGCCAGTGGAGATAAATTGCTTTAGTTAGTAGCTTACCAGCTTAAACTGAGGACTCTCTAGTTGGAATGGAAACTTAATCAAGGGAAAACTCAAAATAAGTTTTCACTTACATTTTATATCTTACTTGGCAACTTGTTTGAAAATGTTGCATAAAAGGTCCAGCACAGGAAACATTTTATACTCCTGCTTATGATTAATAAATATGGAATCTGGGGCATTCTATTTTATAAATCAAGGTCTTAGTCCAAATTTCCTGTTTTTCTACATTAAAAAAAAAACACTCAGGGTAAAAATAGCACTAAACTGTATAGGGTACTCGGGGGTCAAGGCAACAGGCAAAACAGATTACTCTGGATGCCGTGGTGCCCAAGACTGTTATCAGACCATTAGCAGAGACATTGACTTTGCAGTCACTAATAGAAAAGGCATTTGGTGCAGCTGATTTTATAAAAACAGAAGTAAATATATCCTACTTTGGATTTTCTATCCTTATTGAAAAGAGGAAAGGAATGGATAATACAAAATAATAAACCAGTGACTTGGAAATACAGGCTCACACACAGCGAGTTCATGGAAAACCCTAGTCACTCTAGTCAAAGACTGTCTTACCACATCTTATTTTAATCGTATCTATTTCTGCCTGTATTTTATAAACCCAGCCACTGTCTTCAATCTTTAGTACCCTGCACCACCACACCAAATGTACATATACACTCACTGATGTGTTTGATCTTTGTTCAAAGGTTTTCCAGTCTTAAGTCATCTGCACTTTCTGACTTTCTCAGAAATGCTCTCAGCCCAGCCCCTGCATAATAACCTAAAGTGGGTCTTCCAGCATCTCTCTTCCTGTAGAGTATTACCAAGATACTCTGAAGAATACATGCATGGCAGAAAAGTACTTTGGAATTCATACCATTAATTGACACTTCATCATGCAAACATGAAAGTTTTCTCATTTGTATTTTTTATAGCCTAAAGAGTGTTTCTTGATACAACCAAAGGAAACAAAAGAGGATTCCACCAAGACCAGGAAAAGGAGAAAGGTAATATTAATAATTTCTTACAGTGGTCTGACCCCATGTGGTTTCCATCACATTTGTATATATCATACTTTGATGAGGCAACTATTGTAATCCCCACGTTAGAGATGCAGAAATTGTAAGATTCAGTGAGGTTTGATGACTTTCCTAAGGTCACTAGTAATAAGTGTTTCTGTTGGAGCTAGAAATAAATTCTTCTGACTCCTATGTCAGTCTTGTGGAGCGCCAAACATCTTTGTTGCCCGCCCTGTGTTTTTACTGTGGTTAGATGTCAGACATGGGTTTCTAATTCTAGAAGGAGCCCAGAGCTATCTTCCTTCTTGGCCTCTCTGCCTCTATCCAAGAAAAGAAGTATATAAACCAACCTTCTTTTCTTACTCATTTCAGTTTTTAAGACATTATACCATAGAGTATTAATAAAAAGAAAAGAATAAACAGATGAAGGTAGTAGAAGGCATTTCTGACTCTAATTTGGAACCATAATTTAGGGCAAAAATCTCCCCTTGCACAGGGATGACTGTGTTGCTCCTATGCAAACTTTTTCACTGCTCAGCCTTGAAGAAAGTATGGTTAGCTTTGACCTTCCATCACAGTTGTGCAAACAGCAGTGTAATTCTCTCCCTGCCAAGAAGGGTCTGCTGCTGAAGTCAGCAGAGGAAATATGATTGGGATTAGAGGAAAGAAGATGGACTCAAACCAATTACTTAACAGCAAGCTTTTAGAAAATTGAGAGTGTGTGTGCAAATGTTTTTTCTTGCAAATGGCCAAATAGGAAGATGGGAGATGCCAAATTGGCTGAGGTTTGGCAAGTCCTTAAAGAAGTAACTTTAACTTCTCTTTGATAGTTTGTACACTAATGGCCTTCAGGAGTGTTAAGTTCTTGGTGGCTCAAGGTCAGAACTCTGGCTAGACAGTTTAGCCTTGACTGAGGTCATGCTAATATGTGCCCACTGATGACATATTTTTAAAAGTTAATTCCTTTGACAGAACCTGGACCATTCTTGGCAGTGGTATAGAAATGAGGATATTGTGGAGGGAGGGAAAAAAGCCGGAGTTGGGGTAGGGAATGGCTCTTTCCTGGATCTTTGGTGGAACATTAGAAGGAAATAAGCAGGGAAGTTTATGAGAAGTAAATGAATGATTGTGTATTCCCAGTACATTGGAGGCATTCAACAAATGCTACACAAATGAGTCGAAATCAAAACAGATATTAGAAAGTATTTCCTGTAGTTTCTCTTCTCCTTTCTAAAGGGCCACTTTAAGACTGTCGGTCTGGAAGACTTGAGAATCAAAGGTGTAAAGTCCCCCTTTCAGTCAGTTCCTGTGCTCAGATTACTTCTGCAGGTTTTACACTAATGTCAGAAATCCAAACTGAGGCTCACCACCTCAGAAACCAGGGTAAGCAAGAAATCCTCAAAATTCCACTCTTCCAGGAATACAAATCATTTAGGACTAAAAGAGAACTTTCCATAACAACAAGATTTCTTGACTTTTAACAGAAAATAATACCCTAGTATAGAGACTACTACAAAAATGTCAGGTCTCCTGGAAGTCATAGACCAAGAGTTACAAGAAGCCTTTTAGATCATCTGTTCATTTTTTAAAAGCAACAGTTATGTCCAAGAAGTATTCAATGAGTTTTCTCAAGTGTATTTATTAGAACTCAAATTCACACTTGGCTATCATCAAAAGCTATGTGCAGTTTAAATGCCAGAGGAATCAACCTGTTATTCTAAGCCAAATGCCATTTTAAACTTTTCTTTATTTTTCTTCTTTCTCATATCTTAGAAGAAAATTACTGATGTTCTTGCAAAATCGGAGCCCAAACCAGGCACACCTGCAGACCTACAGCAGCTGATGAAGGACTATTATAGCAGCAGTCGTTCAGTGATCGAATTAGAAGAACTGAACCTGCCAGGTACAGCCAGGCTTCAATTTTCCTGACGATGAAGAGCTGAACAGGCTCATCTTTCTTCTAGTATATGCCATGGTTGGGTATTTCCATCAGTAAATTAATATATTTTCTATGTGCTAATACTCCTTTTCTCAACCTAATAGTTTTAATGATTTGTTTATTAGGATGCTAAGCAGTGTTTATTGAATCTAATAATAAGATTTGAGATTGTATTTCCTTTTTTATT